GTCCCGGGTCACGCGCCCCTGGGAGCCGTCGCTGGGCCGGAGCCTGGAGACCCCCAGAGGGCCCCGCCTGGTGCCTGCTGAGCAGGGTGCTGGGGGCCTGGTTGGCCACCGCTCCTAGAGGCTGGTTTGTGCTCCCACGTCCGTGTCATCCTGATGTTCTACGTGTCGTCTTTTTTCTCCTCTTTCGCACACCAATATGGGCACATCATCACGCGCCCCTGGGAGCCGTCGCTGGGCCGGAGCCTGGAGACCCCCAGAGGGCCCCGCCTGGTGCCTGCTGAGCAGGGTGCTGGGGGCCTGGTTGGCCACCGCTCCTAGAGGCTGGTTTGTGCTCCCACGTCCGTGTCATCCTGATGTTCTACGTGTCGTCTTTTTTCTCCTCTTTCGCACACCAATATGGGCACATCATCCCCGGTTCCATCCTCAGCCTCCTGCCAACCTCTACGTGCTCCTTCCCCCCGAGTTTAACCCCGTCATTTATGGGGTGGCCACAAAAGAGATCCTGAAGCGGGTGATCAAGATGTTGTATCGATGCTGCAGCTGCCGTTCCCTGCAGAGCTAAAAGGAATCAGAAAATGCCTTGGGACATGGAAATTAACGCCAGGTTTTCCTTGGACTGCAGGGAGCTGGTAACTGGATTTGCTCTGTGTTAGCTTAAAGCTTGTCTCTGTCACCAACAGAAGTTGGTGCAAGAAAAGGAATTTTCTCTTCCGTCCTGTGTCACTCATAGCCTGGGAGCGACAGCTACAGCACTGCCCACGCCACCAAAGGCGGCCAGGCAGAGTGACTCTTCTTCCAAGGTGAAGGAAAACAGCAAAGGAAGGAAGGTGAAAGGGCACGTCCCCCTTATTGACTAATCAAATAATTGATTTATCTAATTTTAACATCCCTATCCAGCCGTGGCCTGTACCACAGCTTTGGGAGGGCGGGGGGCATGAACAGAGCAGGGAAGTTATGGAACAATCCATCCCCCATCCTCCTCTCCTGGCTTCTGGCATTCAGAAGTATAGGGTCACCTCGACCTTCTTGGTTAATATCCATTGAAGGGCCTAACATCCCCGTTAGACGTGTATCTAATTTCTTTTTGAACCCCGTTGTACCTGTGGCCACCACAACATCCCCCAGCAATGAGTTCCACAGGTTAGATCTCTGCTGCAGGAGAAACCTGCTTCTTTGTATTACAATGGCCACGACAACATCCCCCAGCAATGAGTTCCACAGGTTAGATCTCTGCTGCAGGAGAAACCTGCTTCTTTGTATTACAATGGCCACGACAACATCCCCCAGCAATGAGTTCCACAGGTTAGATCTCTGCTGCAGGAGAAACCTGCTTCTTTGTATTACAATGGCCACGACAACATCCCCCAGCAATGAGTTCCACAGGTTAGCTCTCTGCTGCATTTTCCTTATATTATATTGTGTGAAATAATAAAATCTCACTTCTCTATTCATCATCTCCATATCATTCGTGATTATCTAGGCTTGTGTGTCACATGCAGGCCCTCCATGGGAGTATGTATGAAAGGGGACAGCTGGCAATTCAAAGGGGCCCAGAGACCCAAGTCATTTTAATCACCGCTGTAGCCATGCAACACACTTTGGGCGGCTCTTGGGGAGATGGGGCAGCCATGGTACCCTCCAGGCAGCCCTGGGCGGAGGGAGGGTGCCGTGGTCTCGGCTGCTCTTAGGGCTGGCTGCCCTGGGTCTTGCCTATATCACCTGTGACCTCACCCCTTCCAGGAATGCGGAGCTGGGCCCGCATGGCTGCCTTCTCCCCTGCTCGTGTCCCCCTTGGCTGTCACTTTTCTAACAGTCCTTCGTTTGCCTCTCTCTCCACTGTCACGTTACTGGATTGTGAGGGAAGCAGCCAGATCGCTGCTGCACCCATGGGGGGGTGTTGGCCCCAAAAGTGGCACAAAGGGGGCCATGTGAGGTGTCAAATAGAAGCCTATTTCCTTCTGATTCCATCTATGCTATTCATGTAATTGTATAATGTCGGTATGTGACGTTACAAACATGTACTTTGTGTGGATACCAAATGTTTCTCTGTATGTGGTTGAGCTATGGGCAAAGCAGCTCAGCCTATAGACATGCTAACGAGCAAAGCTCTGGAACAATAGCCCTCTCTAGGCCAAGGACACACCTCAGAGTGGTGAGTCGATACCTAAGGGCTACCAGCAGGGAACACAGAGATAGGCCACTGGCCAGGTGACCTGCTGCAGCCAAGAAGAGAGGAGGAAGGAGGCATATAGGGGCCATGTGAGATCCTCCATTTTGTGGTCTGCTCAGCTCAGCTCTTCATCCCAGAGGCAGCAGTGCAGGGATCAACGAGCCGGAAAGAACTGTGGACCCATCCTGACATAGGATGTGCACCAAGGATTTTTAAGCTAGCAGTTATAACATCTCTGCTAGAGCCTGCATCGAGAACTGGGAGAGTCGAAGATGTAATGTGTGATAATTTAACAACCTTACTCTCATGCTTTTCTTTCTTGTAGTAATAAACCTTTAGATGGTAGACTCTAAAGGATTGGCTCAGCGTGATCTTGTGGGTAAGGTCCAGAGTGTAAATTGACCTGGGAACTGTGGCTGGTTTCCTGGAACCAGACAGAACTTGTTCGGGGTAGGTGGGATTGTGTTCTAAGACCCCCCCCCCCACCCCCCGCGCACGCCTGCTAGGACCCCCCACCTGTTATAAGGCTCGGGGCCATCTGGGGCACGGATATTGCTGGGGTGTCGGAGGGGTTTTGCTCATGAGGCTTCAGGCAGGCGGCTGAAGCGCTCTGTGGGACTGGTTTGTGGCCTGTGTGGAGAGGTCACCAGTCTGGGGGCTGTAAGGAGCCCCGAACTTGAGCAATTCGCCCTGAGTGGACGCCCTCAGCTGTGCCCAGACCCAGCCCGGTCCGTCACACCTGCGGCCTCACCCCTTCCAGGAATGCGGAGCTGGGCCCAGCATGGCTGCCTTCTCCCCTGATCATGTCCCCCTTGGCTGTCACTTTTCTAACAGTCCTTTTGCCTGTCTCTCCACATGGGGAAGCCGTTCCGTATCCTCCTTCTGCCCGTCTCCGAACCTTTTCCCATTCTACAATCTCCTTTCTGAGACGGGGCTCCCGGTATGGCCCACCCAAGCCAGTCTGTGCGTTAGCTAGTGGCTGTCTGATGTTTTGTATCCAGCTCCTCATGGTTCTTCACAACCTATGGGCCTTTTGGACCGCTGCTGTGCGTGGAGGGGATGTTTTCAGAGAACTGCTCACGGTCACTCCAACATCCCCTTCCTGGGTGATATCAGCTCATTTAGAGCCATCCCTAGGTATGAATTGTTGGGTATTTTTTTTTATTTATGGTGAATTTCATCTGCCAATGTGTCGCCCAGTCTCCTGGTTTTGCGAGAGCCCTCAGTAACTAAGTAAATTGAAGAATGATGCATTGTGGGCAAACTTTGCCAGTTCACTATCCACTCCCTATCCCTGATCCTGAGTGAACATGTGGAGCAGCCCAGGTCTGTGCACAGATCCATGAGGGACGCTGTTGTTACTTCACACTGTTGTGAAAACTGACCATTTAGTCCGACTCTTTGTCTCCTGTTCATTCACCAGTTACTGACCCTGGAGAGGACTTTCTCTCTTAACCCAGGAAATGTTACTTTGCTAAAGAGCCTTTTCCGAGGGACCTTCTCATAGAACTCTAGAACTGGAAGGGACTTTGAGAGAACATCAACTCCAGTCCCCTGCCCTCATGGCAGGATCAAGCACCATCTAGATCATCCCTGACAGGTGTCTGTCTAACCTGTGCTTAAATATCTCCAGGGATGGAGATTCCACAACCTCCCTAGGCAATTTATTCCAGTGTTTACCCACCCTGACAGGTAGGAACTTTTTCCTAATGTCCAACGTAAACCGCGTAAACCGTAAACTTGCTGCAGTTTAATCCCTTTGCTTCTTGTTCTAGCCTCAGAAGTCCAGGAGAACAATTATTCACCTTCCTCCTTCTAACACCCTTTTAGAAAGCTGCTGTGATGTTCCCTCTCACTTTTCCGTTAAAAGCATTTGTGGAAAATCGTGCCAGTCTAGACGTAGCCAAGGGAAACTCCACCATGGGCCTAGAACTTAGTTACAAAGGAAAGCAAAAACACTTTTAAAAAGTGCACAGATATCAGATCCCAAACCATAAAGCAATAAAACCTAATGGATTTACCTGAACTTTACCCTACTTACAGAAGAGTGAGGAGTCTGTTCTTAGAAGGAGACAGTCTGTCTGTCCCCCTCGGTAGCTAGAGAGAAACTGCCCCAGAGACAAAGGAGGAGAAAACCAAAAATGCCTTTGTCCCAGTTTGAAATTCCTCCCTCCATTCCTACTGGCCGACTCTACCTGGGTTAAGTATAGTTAACCCCTTACTCCCCAGGCTGCTGGCCGTCTCTCATGATCACGACAGGGAGGAAGGAGGCGAGTGGAGAGTTAGTGACACACCAGCTTTAGGTCACTACCTCCTGCTCCTGCTGTCACCCCTGGCGGAGAAGAGAAAGCTGACCCTTCCTCTGTCCCTCGGCCACGCCAGTCACCCCAGAGCAACGGGGGCTCCTGCAGGCCAGGGCAGGCCTGGGTGACAGCCAGACAGGCTGTGAATCTGCATTGGGACTCCCGAGATCTGGGATCTCTTCCCAAGCTCTGCCACCAACCTGCTGGGTAACCGTGGGCAAGTCACGTCACCGCCCTGTGCCTCAGTTTCCCCATAGATGAAACGGGGCTGCGGCTACTGACTCTCCTTGTAGAGTGGCTTGAGAGCCACCAATGGAAGAGCTCAATGTTCTTTATCATTCCTGTGTCCCAAAGGCCTGGGCCAGGCACCCCCCGTCTAGCAATGGAGACGTGATCCCTGCCCCCAGGAGCTTACAAACCCGGCGAGGCACTGCAGGGAGGAAGAAGGCTCTGCGTGCTATGGCTGTGCCCTCTCCCTGCACCGTGAGAGGCAGCAGGAGCAGAGCAGAGGAGACACAGAGGCGCTGGGTTTGATTCTGACCCGACACCGCTGTCCGTGCTTTCAGTGCAGATACTCCTGCTCTGTACCAAGGCAGAGGGGAATCCGGGCCAGGGAGCCAGCCCGTAGAATCCCAGGGCTGGAAGAGACCTCAGGAGTCATGGAGTCCAGCTCCCTGCCCAAAGCAGGACCAGCCCAACTCAATCAACCCAGCCAGGGCTTGGTCAAGCTGGGACTTAAACCCCTCTAGGGATGGAGATTCCAGCCCCTCCCCAGGGAACCCAGCCCAGCGCTTCCCCACCTGCCTAGGGTCCTAATATCCAACCTAGACCTCCCCTGCTGCAACTTGAGCCCATTGCTCCTTGTTCTGCCACCTACCACCACTGAGAACAGCCTCTCTCCAGCCTCTTTGGAACCCCCCTTCAGGAAGTTGCAGGCTCCTCTCAAATCCCCCCTCACTCTTCTCTTCTGCAGACTGAATAAACCCCAATCCCTCAGCCTCTCCTGGCAGGTCATGTGCTCCAGCCCCCTCAGCATTTTGGTTGCCCCCCCGCTGGGCCCTCCCCGATGCGTCCACGTCCTTTCTGTAGCGGGGGCCCCAGAACCGGCCTCACATCCCCAAGAGTCCCAGAGTCCCTCATTCCGAAGGTGGAAGGACGGACCAGGTCTGACCCTTGCACAGCCGGCCCCCGGGAAGTCCTAGAGCAAAGCTCCTAGAAAACAGCCCCTCTTCCCTGAGAACTGGCCCGCGCTGGAGAATCCGCCCCCACCCTGCTCCGCGGTCCCAAGGCTCATTCGTTTCACTGTTTCAAAGGTCTGCATTGGTCCAGCCTCATCGTCCCGGCCCTGGGTCCGGCTGGACCCGTCTCGGCTGCACCGTGGAGCCCAGCGCTGTCTGCGTGTTCCCCCGGGGGAACCTCCCTGGCTGTGTTCCCGTCCCCCTTCGTTGCGCTGGAGAATCCGCCCCCACCCTGCTCCGCGGTCCCAAGGCTCATTCGTTTCACTGTTTCAAAGGTCTGCATTGGTCCAGCCTCATCGTCCCGGCCCTGGGTCCGGCTGGACCCGTCTCGGCTGCACCGTGGAGCCCAGCGCTGTCTGCGTGTTCCCCCGGGGGAACCTCCCTGGCTGTGTTCCCGTCCCCCTTCGTTGCGCTGACCGGACCCAGCTCTTGGAGGCCGGTTGCTCGGCCGTGAG